ACACACAACCTCAGGAACGTGCACGTCACACACACAACCTCAGGAACGTGCACGTCACACACACAACCTCAGGAACGTGCACGTCTCACACACAACCTCAGGAACGTGCACGTCACACCCACACTCTCAGGAACGTGCACGTCACACACACAACCTGGGCCTCATGATGTATTTCTATTTCAAACTTTATTTTTCATTGATCTTTATTTATCCAGGTCGACTCACTGAGTCACGAGAACTCATTTTCTAGAGAGACCTGTTTAGGAGCAGATGGTGGGGGTTGAGTGCCTTGCTCAGGGGCCCAGGGTGGGGCCAATGAGGGTGGAGGCAGGTGTGGGTGTTTCACCTTTTCCACCTCATTTAGATGTTGACGGTACCGGGAGTTGAACCTGTGACTTTCCGATCACAGGCCCATCTTGTAACCTCTGCTCCACCACTCCCCCACATGACATCATATCATACTGGTCGTATTAAATCTCACTGGTTTCCTTCCAGATGTGTTGAACTGGTCCCCTGATGTTTGCAGGTGTGTGTGGTCAGTGGATGAAAAGCCTGGCATGAACAAGATGATGCTGGAGATGATGATTTGACGAGAGCTCCCACCTTCTACCTGTGAAGAACAAGAGCAGCTCAGTGAAGGTGCTGAGAGCTGCAGAGAGGCTGATCCATGGAGCTTCAACACAGCAACCTCCAAACATGTCCACCCTCACACACATCGTCCATGAACACACTGGACCACAGCACAACATCATAACACACTGACAACAACAACAATAGCAACAACAACAACAACAACAACAACAACAACAACAACAACACATTCATTAATGATTCAGACAAGTTTTTATTGTTTGTTTGTTTTACAATTAAAAACAGTTTGTTGTCCACTGTTGTCATCACTGTTAAAATCCAGGTCTCTCTTGTAAAAGAGTCCTATTGGCTCAGTGGAACTAACCTGTATCAATAAAGGTTGAATGAATATAAATATACACATAATGATTTATTCAACCTTTTATTTATACAGGTTGGCTTCATGGAGCCACAAGGACTCTTTTACAAGAGACCTGCTCCAGACACAACATATAAAGTACAGACAAGAATAACAGGAAACAATGGCAATGATAAACTACAGTAAAAATGATAGAGATGATATGTATATATATATATATATATATATATATATATATATATATATATATATAGACACATCT